CCCCCCCACTCAAAGGGCTATAATGCCGTTGAGGAGGTCCCACTCCGGTCCCCCTCCACTGAAGCTGCACTGTAGGTCTGCAAAAGTAAGAAAAGAAAAAAAAATTAAAACGGTACCGGAACCGGTAGCAGTACTGCCGGTGCTAGTACCAAAAAACTGGCACCGGTACCGGTACCGAAAAATGCATCGTGACGGCATAAAAATGCACCATTCTCACGATAAGGTATATTCTCAATGTAAAAATCATTCTCACTTGAATCAACCCTTACACACAGATGTGTGTGTGTGTGTACTTGGTGGTAGCATTGAGAATGAAACCTATGGCTCTTGCTTTCTAACAAGTTTTTTTTATTAATTGTCATTTCATTTATCTTATTGATTGGTGAACCTTTTGTATTTGCTTTGCCCGAAGGCTGGTCAAGTAAAAAAATGTCTTATTTTGTGGGATATCACTATGGATTGGTGTGTGTGTGTATATATTCAAGTTTCAATGTTGATTACTTGGGCCATTTGTGGGCCTCTAGTACTTCCCCAAAATAATGTTTCATTTTAGGGAATAAAGTTAATTTATTTCTTTAAAATGTAATGTAAAAACTAAGCAAAATTGAAATTATAAATCTCAAATACTCAGTATACTAGAAGTAAAGAAACTGAATCGTACAAGAAAGGCAATGGCCGAATTAGAAAGTTAGAAACACTCTTTGCATGTGACACCAACTTTGTAGAATAAAGTCAATATAATAGTGCGCACCTTGGATGCATATCAATTTTTTGGACTTTCTCACATAATTTGTTTTTTAGTTTGTTTATTTGAAAAAACAAATGTAATTTAAGTAGTAAAAACTATTTATTTTTTCATATGTAGGTCCATGGTGGACATTAGCTCCATCATAGAATTTGCCTAAAGTCAATTAATATCTTCCCTTCCTTATGTTTAAATTTTAAAAGGAGTCCACTAATAAAGATTTCTTCTATTTTGATAATGACAAACGTCTTTATTATTCGAGACATAAGTACTAGATTTCTATTTTGATAAGGAAAAATTATCCAAAATAATCCCAACTTTACCTTGTCTTTCAAAAATAATCCCACCTTTCACTGTGATGCATAATAATCCCAACTTTATTGAAATTTGCCAATTTTGGGTCGCCGTTAAATTTCTAACGGAAAGTTAACGGAAATGCCCGTTTTAGACAACAAAATGAAAGTTGGGATTATTTTTGATGAATTTTTGTTTTTTAATTTTTTTTTGAAATTTTTTATTTAAATTTTTTGAATTACTTTTAACCTCCATTTCTTTTTCTTTTTTAAAGATTATTCTTACCTTAGAAAAAAATAGATAAAAAAATTAATGAAAATGCGAAAAATAACTAAAACAATACAAACTTAATCAAATAAATAATGTAATCAATAGAAATTAAACAGAAACTGGTAAGAAACATAATAAATATATACGGAGTGGTGAGTTTTAACATTTTACACACTATACGAGGTCACTGGTGTCATATTATGTGTACAGAGTACCTAAAAGTTTATACAACAAGATTTTTTTTACATTGGTCACTGGTGTCATATTATGGCATTGAGCTTATTTAACACCTCTATGATACTCCGTTCGACCTCGAAATGGTTCAACATTCTCTCTTATAAACCCCCACCCCTAATAGTTTGGTAAACATTTATATGACAGTGATGCGTAGCTCAGCCGTTGGTATAAGAGTGCTACAAGAGAGAGGTCTCGAGTTTGAAGCCTGTTGGCCGCGTTGAGAGGCAACCATGCAAAGCATGAGACTTTTATAAGTACCATACTCGGAACCGTACTCTTATGCTAAGTACCATACTCGGAACCGTACTCTTATGCTAAGTGACTAAGATTATAACTCAATTTACCTCTTTCAGCTAATTGTCTAGCTGGTGCTGAGGGGCTGTCGGGGAGGTGGTGTCATCCTTTTTTAATAAACAAATATATAATTTATTCTTTATTGTTTTGCTTATGTGAGAGAGAGTCCATGCATTATCATATGGGCCTCAAATCAGGATAGAAGAAGTACTCTATCAGTGCAATCCAGATGAGGAAGCAATAAGAAAAAGGAAAAATTACCCAAAATAATCCCAACTTTACCCTGTCTTTCAAAAATAATCTCACCTTTCACTGTGATGCATAATAATCCCAACTTTATTGAAATTTGCCAATTTTGGATCGTCGTTAAATTTCTAACAGAAAGTTAACGGAAATGCCCGTTTTAGACAACAAAATGAAAGTTGGGATTATTTTTGATGAATTTTTGTTTTTTAATTTTTTTTGAAATTTTTTATTTAAATTTTTTGAATTACTTTTAACCTCCATTTCTTTTTCTTTTTTAAAGATTATTCTTACCTTAGAAAAAAAATAGATAAAAAAAGTAATGAAAATGCGAAAAATAACTAAAACAATACAAACTTAATCAAATAAATAATGTAATCAATAGAAATTAAACAGAAACTGGTAAGAAACATAATAAATATATACGGAATGGTGGGTTTTAACATTTTACACACTATACGAGGTCTTAATATACTACTTATTTTTTAAAAGAACAAGCCGTCCGGTAAAATTGGAATTATTGTAGATAATTTTTTCTAAAAAATAAGTAGTGATATGTTAATACTTTGTATAATACGTAAAATATTAAAACTCACCCGTATATTTTTATTTTACTTTTACCAATTTCAAGTTAGTTTCCATTGATTACCTTATTTATTTTATTATTTTTGTATCATTTTAGTTACATTTCTCATTTTTTCATTTTTTATATCTATTATTTTTATTTTTTAAACTAAGACTAATCTTTAAAAAAGAAAAAGAAATGATGATGGAGGTAGAAAGTAATTCAAAAAATTTAAATAAAAAATTTCAAAAAAAAAATTAAAAAACAAAAATTCATCAAAAATAATCCCAACTTTCATTTTGTTGCCCAAAATGGGCATTTCCGTTAACCCTCCGTTAGACACTTAACGGCGACCCAAAATTGGCAAATTTCAGTAAAGTTGGGATTATTATGCATCACAGTGAAAGGTGAGATTATTTTTGAAAAACTGGGTAAAGTTAGGATTATTTTGGGTAATTTTTCCTTTTGATAATGACAAACGTCTTTATTGTTCGAGGCATAAGTACTAGATGTCTAGACATGATAAGCAAAGCAATGACAAATTTGTGTGTGTCAAAACGCTTGATGATCAAACACAAAGACTTTAGTTTGTTGGACTTATAGGCTTGTTTGGAAATTGGTGTTTAGCTGTTTGTAATTGTATTAGCTAAGTCTTAGGGATGATTGAGTTAACTATTCTAAGAGACTATTGTATAATATGTATTTTTTTATTTAGTCACCAATTCTAAAATACTACATTCGTAGTTCCCGCGTTTTGAAAATTATTTCATACTTAGTCTTTTGAGACTATGAGTGGAAAAAAATATTTGGTCAAAAGGTGTACTTATGGAATTTAATTCAAAAATTGAGGACGAGGAATATAACGGGGACTAGATATAAAAAACTACAAGTTATAACGGACCATTTATAGAATTTAGAACTTATTATATTCAACTTATTCTTATTGATTATTTTTATTGGAATTAGATCAGACCAGACCAAACTAAAATTTATTATCACGTGAATAAAACAAACACTTACTCTAATAAAAAGCAAGAATAAGTAGAAGAGAAAAAAGTCACTATCTAACATCTTTAAATCATAGAAAAAATTATCCAGAATAATCTTAACTTTAATTTGTCTTTCAAAATTAATTTCACCTTTACTGTAATACATAATAATCTCAACTTTAATGATATTTGCAAATCTTGGGTCGTCGTTAAGTTACTAACGACCGGTTAACGAAAACAGTCTGTTTTGCGCAACTAAATGAAAGTTGAGATTATTTTTTATGAGTTTTCATTTTATATTTTTTGTTTTCATTTTTATTTAAATTTTTAAAATGACTTACTACTACTATTATTTCTTTTTCTTCTTTTGAAGATGAGTAAATTCTCAAAAAGATCTTCTCTAATAAGGTGTTTTCCAAAATCAATCTTCAATAAGTTTTTATTACCTACATGGTCTTCTATAATTGGGATTTATTTCTAAGATAGTCTTTCGTAAATAATCTTACTCAAATGATTAATTGGAGGGTTATTTTCGTAATTTTTATCAGCTCAATTTAGAATAAGTTCTTAAAATGATTATTTTTAATTAAGTGCTTTCCTAAAATGGTTTTTTCAAATTAAAGATGTGTATTTGTCAATGCATTTTTTTAATTTTAAATCTAGTTGTATAGAAATGACCGTGTCGAGAATATACTTTAAATTTACATGATAGAAATACCAAAATACCTCCAAACTAATCATCATTTGAGTAACATTATTTACATATGACGATTTAGAGAAAAAATCTTAATTATAGAAGACCACGTAGGTAATTATAACTTATTGAAGACTGAGTTGAGAAAATACCTTATTATAAAGAACTATTTTGGGACTTCCTCTTTATTGATTAGTCTAACTTTTTGGGGAAAAAATATAAACTAAAAAATAAAGAAAATGAGAAAAAAACTAAAATCAAACAAAATTGTTGAAATAAATAATGTAATCAGTAAAAACTAACCAGTTGTGGGTTTTAACTCGTTCTTTAAAAATTAATCTTAACTTTACTAGTTCTTTCAAAAAATAAGTAGTACATTAGTACGTATAAGGCATAAAATGCTGAACCCTCCACTTCTTATATTTTTATTTTATTTTCTTACCAGTTTAAGTTTAAGTTTTACTGATTATCTTATTTATTTCATTATTTTTGTATCATTTCGTTATTTTTCTTATTTCCTTTGCTTTTTATATCTATTTCTTTACTTTTTCAAAGGTAAGACTAATCTTTAAAAAAGAAAAAGAAATGGCGATAAAAAGCCATTTTAAAAATTTAAGTGAAAATTTCTAAAAAAAAATTAAAAACAAAAACTCATAAAAAATAAGTCGAACTTTCATTTTTTTGGGTGCAAAACAAGCCATTTTCGAATTTTCGCTAACCCAGTGTTAGTAACCTATGCATCAAAGTAAGGCGTGATTATTTTTGAAGAGTAATGCATATATGATTTTGATGTCCATATTTAAAATATCAAAAATGCTAGGGATACACCATTTGGGGTACCTCATTTGTACTCCTCCATCTCCACCACACAAAGCAAGAAAGAGAGAAAAAATAAAAATAAAAAAATAAATGAAAGGCTAGGATGCATGGTGTACAAAATGGGATACTCCAAATGGGGTACCCTAGCATTCCTCTTGAAATAGAGATCCTTCTCATGTGAATATTTTCATCTTTGCTATGCATTAAAGTCCATAAAATAAGTATGTAGGTCTCCAAAACAATTTGCCAGTTTTGAAAGAAGTGTAAAGTTGTTATTAATCTCTACCCGAGTACAATTTTTCCTAAATTGTATCCCCATCTTCCTTCAATCTAACCGTGTGTGTGTGTGTCTATATATATATATATATATATATATATATATATATATATATATATATATATATATATATATATATATATACTTCCCTCTTTACCCACCGGTCTCTAATTTGCATCTCCCATTCATTTCCCATGGATGCAAATACCCTGCAGAGCTATCGGACCCTCTCACCAGTGCCCAGAAAGCAATTCCATCCGCCGCAAACCGTTCGAGCCGTGGCAACAAGAACAGCAAGCGGTTCTAAAATTATTGCAACCTCTTCCAATTCCAAGAATGTTTACCGGGATAACTGGTTTCATCGCTTGGCCATCAACCATCTCTCCCACTGTCTCCGAGCTGTCACAGGTTCCTTCCTTCTCTCTCTACTCTGTTCTGTGGTAGTCATGATGATTTCTCTGTGATTTTTTTTAAAAAAATTAAATAATCCTAATTAATTTCCCTATTTTGAAATGACGGATTTAGATATACCATATAGGGGGTAACAAGATTTCACAATATCAAATGCAATATTTACAAACTCGCTCCGTCCACAAATAAACTTCCCGTTGCGCGTTATGATGTTTGACTAAAGTTATTTTTAAATCATTTTATATGAAAAATGGTGTGAAATTTTAAAATAAAAATTACATATTAAAAAACTATATCAAAAGATCTACAAAACTAGAAGTGACATAACTATATTATTTTATCAAATGGGTAACGAAAATAGGCCAACAAAGTGAATAAAGTTTCACACCATTTTTCATATAAAATGGTGTGAAAATAAATTATGTGATTAAAGTTTCACACCATTTTTCATATAACGAAAATAGGCCAACAAAATGAATAGGCCAACAAAGTGAACAAAGTGAATAAAGATTCACACCATTTAAAGTTCACAACGTACACAAACATTTTTCTTCTCTTTAACAAATTTTGTTCTGTTTGGCTCGAAAAAAATAAATTAAAGGGTAAAATGCTTACTAGGTCTCTATATTTTTCAAAAGTATTTCTCAAATCCCTGAATTATTTTAAGTGCTTACAAGGTCCATTGTTTTATTGAAAGTGCTTCATAGGTCCATAAATTATTTTTAGTTCTCCGTATTTATTAGTGGTCCTTTTGGTGGCTTTTTTCAAACAAAGTCTCCTGAAATTGTTGTAAGAAAGTTATGAACCTGGAAGGAACAAAAATGATTTAGGAACCTATAGAGCATTTTCAAAAATATATAAGGATTTAGTAAGTACTTAAATAATATAGGGACTCGGAAGCAGTTTCAAAGAAATATAGAGATCTTGCAAGCACTTTACCCTAAATTAAATGAATATTTTAGGAGGATGTGAGTTTTTTATTTTGGGTGGAAGGAAATACTAAAAGCACCTCTATGCATGCTATATATATATATATATATATATATATATATATATATATATATATATATATATATATTCCTTGTGGTTTGACTTCGTACGGAGTTTTAAAAAAGTGAAATTATGTGATTAAAAGTTATAGTGGACCCCGAAAATATTTCCAATTGAAAAAAGAGGAAGATTAATTTGGAACAGCCCCCAAAAAAATAAAGATTAATTTGAGACGGAGAGAGTAGATTTTAGCAAATCAAAATGGCATGGTTAGGGACGTTATTGGTGCTTCTTCCATCTAAAATTTAGTTGATTTATTAAGTCAATAAAACTAGATTCAATATCATATTATGATATGAACTCCCATTCTCCCATTATTAATAGAAGGGAGCTCTATATATTGAATTGGGAGTGTTAAATTATTAACCAAACGAGATACAAGTTACAAACCATGAATAAAATAATGATGTTTGCTTCCAATAGAGAGGGTAAACCGCCATTTAAATTGACCGGGCTGGGAAGTGGAAAAAATGGGTATGATGGGCTTGTGGAAACCACAACAGCAGTTTACCGTAACTTTGATTCGGCCCAACAGCAGAAAATTGTGCTTCAAGCTCTGGAAAAAGCTATACCCAGGCCCATTCTTTTGTTGGCAAGTACTCCTTTCCTTCCTGTTTAATGTTATTCTCCCTTTTCTTTTTTGCCCCTATTAAAATCAAGTCATATAAGTATGGAACAAGTCACAATAATTTATTCTCTCCGTCTCAATATATTTGTTCAGTTTGATTTTTTCGAGTCAACAAGATAAATTTTGAGCTTCAAGTAAACAAACCTTTTGATGTACTAGTATATTAATGTAAAAATGGTTTTACTAGATTAATCTTGTTTGAGAGTAATAATTGATGTTTAAAATTTATTTAATTTGACTCAAAAAAATTAAAGTAGACAAATATACTGAAATAATGTGGTAGTATATAACAAGTATATATGGAACTTTATGTTACACAAATCACGAAAGTTAATGGAACAAGTCACATGCTCTACCCAGGAGTGGATCATTTTTATTTTATGAATGGAGTCACAAGGTATATTATACCGTAATTTTAATTATGATGAATGTTGCAAATAGTAAAATTCATACTTTATAAAGTCATATTAAGTCGGTTACACAAGCATTAAGGGTATATAAGTGGGAAATAAGTTTATATTCATTGTATGCTCCATAAATTATTGTTGTCATGTTGCTCACTTGCTTATTGTGGGTTAAATAATGTGCTCTATATAATTATTTTTTGGAATAAAAGTAATGACTTCATACCAAAAATATTACCCTCATTTTTAAAAAAACCCCAAAAAATATTTGATTTATTATCCAACCAGATGTCTCCCAATTAAGACAATGTGGTATGGGGGGAGAGAGGGGCGACGGGCATGACCGCCGATGTGGCGTGACACCACGCCGGTGGTGGTGGGGGGGTGACGGCAGTCACCGGGTAATGGGAGATGGTTTTATTTTGTTCTGTTTTTCAATTCTGCCCAATCAAAATTTAACACATCTTTACGCTTATCACCTACATTCACCCCATGATACCACATTCTTTTAACATTCTACATCATACCATTTATATCTAATCATCACCCATCACCCCACCCCCCCTATACCACATAGCCTAACAGTCCCACAAGTAATTAAGATGGGTAAAATAATTTTACACGCACTATAAGTCTATATCTATTGAATGGTTTGAATGATAACTTGTAATAATGTTAGTATTAAGTACCCCTATATGTATGCATTATTCTAAAGTGGGGGTTTTAATAATGGATTACAGATGAGAATAGTGCTTCCGCAAACAACGTTTGTAAGAGAATGTTGCGCCGCCTTCACCACAATCTTTTTAACTTGGCTCGTAGGTCCCTGCGAGGTGCGTTATTAAGATATTTTAATTTCCTTCTTTTTTAGATACGATGCTACTTAGAAGTGGCAATCGGGTCAACGGGATCGGTTTCGGATTGCATTATTTCAGTTCGGATATCTTTCAGATATATGTTATAATCAGCTCGATTCAGTTTGGATCGATTTAATTTCGTTTCGAAATTGATTCGGTTCTATACATTTTTCAGTTTTGGTTCGGTTTCGAGTTGGTATAAATCGGTTCGGATAGGTTTTCGTTTGGATCAGATATATTCGGTTTCGGATTGGATATATTTCGGTTTCGAATATGTTTCAGTTCAGATATATTTCAATCAAATTTATTTTGGATATATATCATTTTAAAACTAATTTCCATCATCTCTAATGTAGCCAAAATTTCACCATTTTTTGGCTTTGGGGTGTGATGGAATAAATCAAAATGGATCTCTAAACTGTCTACGCTTCTTTAATTAATGAGGTAGCAGTTAGTCAAGCAATGCAACTTTCGACGTTGAGCCGGCGGTCTCTTTGGAAACAGTCTCTACTTTCGAGTAGGGGTAAGGTCTGCGTACACACACCTTCCCCAGACTCTACTCTTGTAGGATTTAACTGAGTTGTTGTTGTTTATCATTTTAAAATTAAATTTAGAATAAATTTTCAAAATGGTCCTTTGTAATTAGGTGTTTTCCCAATTCAGCCCTCAATAAATTTTAAACAAAAAATATGAAATGAGCACCTTCTTTGCAGTTTTAGAAGAAAAAAAGGTGAGGCGCAAAATAATAAACGAAAAGTATGAAATGAACATGAGTCCCCCTATTGTTTAGAAAATAGGCACCAATGTTTCTTCTTTGCCAGAAAATGACTGGAAAATGATCAAAGGGTGTAGGTGCAACGTGTCGAAACCACAATGACTTTAAAATAAGTCTTAAAAATAGAGACTTTAAAATAAGTTTTAAAAATAGAGGGGTATTAGTCTCAATTTTCCAAACCATACAGGCACTAGAGCTATTTGACCTATGAACTTAGGATAATAACTTAATTGTTATTTATTGTAGGGAAAATTCGCATGAATACTCCAAGAAGTTCGTGATTTTACGTGAATACTCCGAAATTGAATAATTTACCCTGCTGCTCTGAAAAATTGTTTAATTTTATACCAATACTCCGAGTTGTCAACTAAGCAGAATACATGACATTTTAAATGATGACTGTAAATTATTAAGTATGTGTTGGTAACTACGAAGTGATATAAAATTAAAAAAACAATGTTTCAGACAAAATTAAGAATTTTAAATTACATATTTCATATCAAATTTATATTCGCTGGAAAGATCTTTAAAATATAAATTCTAGACTATATCAACTTTAAAATGCTCTGATTTTTTATCTCAAACACTATTCAGCTTTAACAAATTTTTGTTTAAACCGACATGGAGGAGGGTAATTATAACGCATTGAAGGTATTTTCTCTATTTTTGTAATTAATTACCAACTTATACTTAATAATTTTCGAGTCACCATTTAAAATACCATGTATTCAGCTTGTTGGAAACTTGGAGTATTGGTGTAAATTTCAGTAATTTCTGAAAAAGTAGTGTACGTAAATTATATAATTTGATAGTATTATCGTAAAATCACAAATTCCTTGGAGTATTAATGTGAATTTTTCCTTTATTGTATTTATCATATAGAGTTGTAATCTCACTTGTATCTCTCCCCTATTCAATGTAGCTTTGTCTAATGATTGAGGTGATTTCATCCTGCAATACAATAGCTTCCTAAATGCCATATAAGAACAATATATTGAGAGTATATACTAATCTATTTTGCTTTTTCTTAATCTTGTCTTCGGTTTTAGGTTCGGGAGGGAGACTTTATGGAAAGGAAAGAAAAGAACACTGTACACGTTGTAAAATGCAGGTTCTTACTTTTTCTTCACACGCATTTACTCCTATAGCCCTATATTAATGGTCTCTTCTTTTCAATTGAAATTCTAAGATAAGATGTTAGAAGAAACTAAAAAGAGTGAAAAGAAATTAGGAGTTGGAAAAAATAAAGCGTTAAAAAACTCAATTAAATGATCACCCAAATAACTAAGTAAATTATATTGGAAAACACTGAAAGAAGTTGGAAGAAATGAAGAGTTCTCTTCAACTTATTACTTATTCTTATCAGAATCATCAGACCAGATCACATCAAAAAAACTTTAAATGTAACTACAACCAGATCTGATCAGATTTTATTTCAATCAGATCAAGTGTAGAAAACGATTCCTAGAAAGAGTTGAAAGAAAATGGATGTTCTCATCGATCAACAACTATTGTTCGGCAATAATGTCAATGAAGGGGCATAAATTGTATTTTATACCCTAAAAATAGACTCTATGCTCTTAGAATATTTGTCCAGTTTTTACTTTTGCTCTAAATGAGGATCGACTTTTAAATTATAATTAAACAAAAAATGCATTTATATTAATTAAATAAATAATGGCCTTGTTTGGATGTTAGCTGTCAGCTGTTGGCTGTTGACAGTTCGTGCCAGCTGTTGTGAATGGCTGTTTAGTTTAGCTGGTTTGACTAGCAGAATGAATTGGTTGATCGTTAAAAATGTTTGGTAAAATTAGTTGTTTGAAAATAGTTTTTCCTATATATATATATATATATATATATATATATATATATATAGACACAACACACACGATATTTATTTTTCATTTTTTTGCATGTAAAAATTAAATCTTTACTATATGGAGTATTAAATTTTAATTTTATTTAATTCATAATAAATTATTAATATAAATTTTTTAATGATTTTTGCTTTTTATTTTCTCATTTCATTTTTTGAAATTTTTAGATTTTAAATTTTAATTTTTTAGTATTTAATTTTTTTTAACTTTTATTTTTTACATATATTATAAAATATATTTCAAAAAAAATGATTTTAAAAAAATTATTTTTCGTAACCGCCAAGTCCAAATGCTGCTTCCCTTGGCATTTCAGATTTTGGCTTTTCGGATCAAAATGCCAAGTGAAAAAGTCATTAGCCAAACAGTGGTTTTGGCGGTTCGCTTGGTCAAAAAAGCCAAAGTCAGTCAAAGATGCCAAAAGCTACTTGAAATGCTATTTTCTAAACACGGCCAATATTTTGAAAAATTATTTACAAGACAAATCTAATAAAACTATTTTTATATCAATATCTAATATAAACTTTGTTTAATTAATGGTCAAAATTTGTTTTGACTAAAAGAACCAAAAATTGACAAATACTCAGAGACAAAGGAAAAAAATTATTAATCGAATGTGAAAAATTAAAGACTAGAAAGATAACCGTTGATTTAAAAAAGTGTTTTGACATAGACATTGAAAAAGTAATTGTCTGATCGCGATCCAATATCTATACATAATACTATCTCACTCCCATAATATTTTTCTACTTTTGATTTTTTCCATTTACTATTCACTTGATCAAACATCGTTTATTTTATTTTCCTACTTCTGTTACTTATTTGATAAATAAATTTAGTAGTGTCACCTCTTGTTTCGAAGAAATTTTGGTATACTTTTTAAATATGTAAATTCTATTTTTTAATTTCATCCCAATTCTCAAACAAAATGTTTTGAAAGTAACTTCAGTTAATAGCGAAACAGGTGATTTGAAATTGGGATGAAAGGAGTAAAACAACAATGCAAATTTAATCAACCCCGTCTTATGGCTTAAGTTTTCACTCTTCCATTGCTTCGGTGGCGAGCCTCAAAACGATGTGACCATACACCCCCCCAATGAACTCTATGTTAGGATGCAACAGCGGCACTACTTCCATGTCATGCCCTTAGTCCTTAGCGTCGTTGGGCCTGATGCAAGTACGAAACTCTCCCATGCCCATTTGGGCCTCCCCATAGGCTTGGCTCAAACCCTAATAGGCCGCGTCACCCTAATGACGCGGGTACAGAAAAGAAAAGGTAAAAATACCCCTCTTTCTCATTTGCAAAAGAATAACGAGAAACGTAAATCCTATCGTTCAAGCTTTCACTGCTCCATTGCTTTGGTGTTGATTTTTCATGCATATCAAAATTTACCTTAGAATTGAAGTAAAATATGAAATTGATTATATCTACACTTTTAATTAGGTTCTTGGAGGAGACCAACTGTGTAGGAATGTGTACCAATCTATGCAAGTTACCAACTCAAACGTTCATCAAGAAGTCCATGGGAATGCATGTCAATATGGTCCCTAGTAAGTGCACTACATATAAATAGAAGACTGGAAGTTTTCTTAGAAAAGTTAGTTTTCAAATAATATAATATTCAATAGTATTGTACATGTATGTTCTACTAATTTTTAAGGGCTCGGCGTTTATTTTTTGCAGATTTTGATGATATGAGCTGCGAGATGATCTTCGGGCAGGTTCCTCCCTCTTCATCGGAAGATCCGGCGTTGAACCAGCCTTGCTACAAGTTATGTAACTTGAAGAGAAAGCACCACCAAAATTATTGTAGCAACGAATGATTATCAGTATCGAAACATATATGGAGACACAAGCATTACCAATATTGCGATGTCCGGTCCAATGTTGCGCGTGGAGGATTTAAACCCGAATCTAATCATTCTCAATCTTACTTCATGTAGGAGGTCCGGGAGGAGTGATAATATTGCGTAATAGCGTTATAAGTAACGGTATACGAACAAACATGATCGCTTTAAATTAAACTTATATCGGGAATACCAAAATATTTGAATCAAATTAGATTTTGGTATGTAGAATGTGTATGGAAGTTCTATAACGCTTAAACGTACCAATATACCATGATACTCAATAGGTATAGCATATAGATAGACTGGGCGCGTCTCTTGACCAAACAGCACAACTTTACGCAATACATTCAAATATGTTGGCCAATAATTGTTAAACATTGGTTTTCAACAATTTTAAAGATTGAACTGTTGTGTCTGTTCGCGTAGCATTCAGTTGTTTTGTGCCTTTTTGAAAAGGATACCTGAGATAAATTACACATTGGAAATATTTGGATTGTATTACTTTAAACATTCAAATGTTGCCTTGCTTTATACTCTCTTTACGAAAATCAATCCCAGTTAGGGGCTCTACATCTTGGACCTTGCCAGGGACAACTTAACCACTCCTTGGACCCTAATACCAAGGGTTGCCACCCCTGAACCTTGCTACAGAATTTGTAATATCGCTGAATGAGCGTGCACCTTCACCACCTAACTCGTTAACAATGCTAATTGAATTTCTCATCCGATCTTAGTAATCCAAATAAATAAAGTAGCCATTGATAGTAGAATCACCAACACTTCATATAGCCTTCCTATTTGAATTTTTTGACATACTGAGAGGAGGGGGTGGGAGGGGGGGGGGGGGGAATCAACCCACCTATGGTAGGATCAAGAAGTTTCTCAAGGAAAGGCATATAAAAGGGGTCCATATAAGATAAGAGCCAGTGGAGATAAATCTCTGTCAAAGCACAACATTTGTAAATAAAACTCCATGCTAATTAACTAAGGTAGAGAAATGGCCCAAGCCAAAATATAGTTGTGTCCACACAGTAATTCAGTTGTCATGAGCATCATAAATACTGCAACCTACTCTGTCCCATTCCCAGGACTGAAGTCGTCATATGAAACCAAACCCCTCTTACCATCCGGAGAGCTGGCAGCTCTGGGGCTACGATGTGATGATGCAGGCCTTACACTCTTTGTTTGATTCCTGGGAGCAGTATCGGGTGAACTCGAATTGCTCCGAGACCTTGAAATTGATCTTACTCTACTTGAACGTTTGTGATGGTCATCCACACGAGGCCCGAGACGAGATTTCAATCCATCGCTGATTGGGGCCCGCCTTTCCACAGGGCTACGGCTGCGTGAAGAGGCCCTCCTGTTGTGCTGCTGCTTGCCAACCAAGTCAGAATTCTTTGGGCTGTGAGAAACACTCCTGCTCCTGTATCGACGGTAACTATACAAACAACGAAGAGGAAAGTACATAAAGTGTTTAGTCTTTGGCTGATTAAATACGAACTAGTAAGATAGAAACTACTACAGGCAGAAACACACACACACACACACAAAGATGCAGTGACAGACCTAGATGGACTCCTGCCTCTTGGAGACCTATAGCGTCTTGGTGGAGAGGGATGCGAATAGTTTCTGTAGCTTGAATACCTAAAATAAATAACACAATACATATTTTTCGCTTCCCTTGAGGTCAATAATTCTAAGGAGCCTGTCTGGGTACACTTTAATGTACCCACTTTACCAATGTGGAAATAAAGCCAGTCCACATGAGTCTCGTGTTAGTTTAATAGGACGCACATGATTTTTTACCTTTACTCCGTATTTGGTAGTGTAGGCACATTTAAGTGCGCCAACATGGAATCCTTAGAAGGATAACTACCTTTCATGTCAAACAGAACTCCCTAAATATTACCTCTCAGGATTTCTCTGCTGAATATTCCTTCCACCATAATTGGGCCTATATGGTTGGCGTTGTGGAGATGGAGTGCGATAGCGTCTTGCAAAAGAATATTCTTTAGTAAAGCCACGCCCTTTCCTTATACGCTTGGGATTCCCATCAAGAGATTCATTATGTAAAGGCTGTTTATCAGGACTTCGAGACCTCCCGGTCTCTCTCGTTTGGACAGAAATTTTAGTGTTTCCCCCAACCTGTTGCCGCTTTGGGCTTCCGTTAGGAGTCAGGCTTGAACTTTGCTTGCACTGTCTTAGTATTGGCTTAACTTCAGCTATTGGGGAAGCATTCCTGTTAATCACACACACGAAACAGGGTTTATACGCCACCCATAATAAAACAAGCTTCATATGGTTCAAAATTGGGATGAAACTGAATAACTGTTTCCATCATTAAACTAAGGTCATTATCCTAAACAAGATTCTCAAAGCAACCTGGACTTATTTGAAGGATCAGAACAAACATCCCTTGCAACAGCTCTATCACTGCTTTGTTCTCTTCCATGACCATTATTCACAACCTTATCGTTCTTCGGGGGAAATTCACAATGTTCTGATGGATTTCCCTCTTTTTGCTTGTCTTTTTGCAGTTCTCTCTGAGCTTTTCCAGAAATATGCACCTTCTTAAAATCTAAAGGAAATGGAAAAGAGCGTAGCAAAATTGTAGAAGCTTCAATAAAAAGACGTGCAACCCAATTCAAATGTGAATGGTTCTCCCCCGGCAACATGTTCGGGGAGAAATATCATTGTTTTGGGGGAGGTTACTATTATGTTGAACATAGTTATTTTCAGACCTTTATGTGCGGGAGATCCGCGCCCATTTGCATTTTCATCATCAGACCTGCTGTTAGTGGTGCTTGTACTTAGACTCCCTGTACTGCTGGAAGTGTCAGAACTGCTAGAACTCTCAGAACTGCTAGTCAAAGTGGGAAGTTCCCCACAGCCAATATGAAATACTAATATGAGATGGTTAAATTTCAAATTAAAAGCAGAATACACCTTTGCTTAATGAAAAATATTATAATACCTATTTCTGCTGCGCTTCAATCTTTTACGACGGATGTTCTTTTTCTTAATACTCTTCCCATTCTTCCTATGAAGTTTCCTTCCTTTTTTTGATAAACCCCGCCTCTTTTTGTGCCTTCCATAACTGGAAGAACTTGAAGAGTATGTTTCGGAAGATTTAGAATAGGAATCAGTTCCTGACGAGTACGAATCGGAACCTGTATCCGAGCTGTCTGTCTCAGACGAAGAGTATCTCTTTCGCCTCTTTGTATCTCTGGCAGACCATTTGGCTTTTCTCTTTGCAGGATTATCAGAACCATCATCAGACGAAAGCTGTCTTACTGATTTTTTTGTTTTAGCTGGGAATCAGGTGTCGCGTACCAAAGACATATGTACAATAGATGATGAGTAATATTAAAGCACCTACATGATAATGCAGGTTGCGTAGGAAAGTAAGACTAAATCGGTTTCCAAATAAAGTAATACCTTTTTCTTCCCCAGTTTTGCCATGAGTCTTACTCTCTAAGATCTCTCCACAATCAACAATTTTCACAATCTCAGTTGATTTTCCATTGGACGTTCCTACCTGTTCCATTTTCCCTAAAACATCCATTCCCTTCACAACTTTTCCAAAAACTACATGCTTCCTGCAGGTCAACAGGAACAATAATTTAAAAGTAACAAGTCATGCCCAAAGCAAAAATTCAATTAAAGGCCTTATGAGTCACCATTATCATTTATGGAAACTGGAAACAAATAATACATCAAAATCAAAAACATATGACATACCCATCAAGATGTGGTTGTCGTTTAAAAATTATAAAGAATTGTGAACCATTTGTATTTGGACCACTATTCGCCATAGAGAGAAGCCCAGCCTCAGAGTGGTCAAGTTTGAAGTTTTCATCTACAAGGACAAAAAATATCAATGAAAAATAAAACTAAAAACAACCATGTAAACCTCCCTAAATAAATGACCCTACCTGCAAATTTTCCTCCATATATACTTTCTCCACCAGTACCTGCAAACCAGTAAACGAATGTTTCCACATAAATACGTGCATGAGGGATGAAGTTGAGCAAAGCACCGGCACCAATTCAGGTCTAGGAGGACCCTGAAGACTGGAGAGCTGAGAGCATACCATTTCCTTTAGAAAAATCACCACCCTGCAAGGAGAGAGAGAGAGAGAAGAAAAAAATATTAGAATATATATTTTGCCAAACTGAAAACAGCTGAGTAAACCTTTTCAAGAAGAGTGTAAGGCACGACAGAAGATAACAGTCTGTTGAATTTTTTATCGATACTTAACTCCTGGGCAAGATGACATCATACCATTACCACAAACGTAGTAAAGTGTGAAGATTCAACTGATAGTCTCAGGGGAGGTGAACAAAATTCCAAATATGTGAATTAATGTTTCAACTAACATGATTATAAGTTCATAACAATGGTTAAATTTCATAATAATTCTTTTATACTCCCTCCGTCCAAAATTAAAGTTCTCACTTTCCTTTTCAGGACGTCCACAATTAATGTTCCCATTTCTAATTTAAGAAACTTTTTCCTGTTAAAATGACAGAAATACCCCCACTTCCTATTACTTTATCTTTTTCTACTCTTTCTTTTCCCTTTCGCAGAAATCGCAGCCACCCTCCCCCAATTTCCTTTTCTTCTTTTCTTCTTCCTTGCATTCTTTTTCTCTTCTTTTTTCTTCTCCCCAGCACCTTCTTCTTCCTTCTTTTTCTTCTCTCCTTTTTTCTTCTCTCTAGAACCATCCGATTCTTTCTTCTCTTCTTCTTCTTCTCTATTTTTTTTATTGTTCTTCTACTTTTCTTTTTCTTCCTCTTTATTTTATTCTTCCGTCCCCCCTTTTACTTTGTTCACCCGACTGATTTTTTCTTTCTTTTTTACTTCTCTTGTTCTTCTTCTTTCTTTTCTTCCTCCCCCTTTCAGATTTGGTCACCAGATCATTCAAATCTCCGTCAGATCTAAGCAATTCACTTCAGATCTGGGTTCGATTCAGATCTGTGAAGCAAGTCAGCATCAATGAAAGTTCTTCTTCTTCAAGTCATCTTCGGTTTTTTTACTTTGGTGCGGGAATAGCTATTCTGGTCTTCTGGCTTGTTCTGGTCTTCAGGAATAATGGGAGAGGGGAGAGTGGTTGGACGGGAGTATGGGTGGCAGGGGTGGGTTACTGGGGTAAGGGAGGGTATTTTGGGAAAGTCAAAGCAAATTTTAAGTTTTATTAAACTCCGTGCCAAGTCAAAATGGGAACTTTAATTTTGGACGGAGGGAGTAGACTATTAAAATCATTCAAGTCTAAAGTTAGGTCCCAGAACTTGTGACTTGAAATCGAATTAGTAAATAAGCTTCTTCTTAAGTTATGACACCAAAGAGAGAAGAAAATTAATTTTCCATGAAACATACTTGTGCCATAAACCCTTTGATTATGCGGTGAAATATGCATCCTTTATAATGAAGAGGTTTGCTAGTTGAAACTCCAACACCTTTCTCACCTGGGAAGCAAAGCATAAAACCACATTAGTGATGAGTGATGGCATAAACCATCTGAAACTCTGAAAGTAATGCATCCCAGTCATAGCACAAGTGAAAACAAACAAATGAAACGGGATTGGCCGATTGGGTTAATATTAAATACTGTAGAAGAAAAACAAGGATTGCAAAATTTAGACATCTGCCAGACTAAATCTCTCCCCTTTGGGCAAATTTCCAAATTTCCACATACATAACTGGAAACAAGAATAATTTCTGCGTGATGTAACTAGGAGAACTTTTATGTGAACCCATTCAAACAATCTTGATATCCTAAACTACAAAGCAAAGATAATAGCAACCATGAATAACACTTTCTGTACAAATCAGAATAGGAATATAGGATTTCACATTTCAGCTCCCTTGGGAGAGGTATCTTGGAACTACACCAAAAAACAAATCCACAAAACATACCCTCAATGAGGTACTATGTACAGATGTACTCCCTCCATCCCAAAAAAAACTTGATGGTTTGACTGTTTGACTTCACGGAGTTTGGTGAAAAATGTATGGTTAGAATTTGTTTAGAAGAAATAGAAATGATTTGAGCCACACAATTTTTCCTTAAAAGAAAATAAGGAAAGTGTGAAGTTTATTTTGGGACAAGAGTACCTCACAAGGTACAGTATTTATCTGGCACTAGTTCACAGCTGTCCACCTGTCCCACACATTCTACACCCAAAAAATGATGGGAGGAAAACCTAAAATGGCTCCTGAGATTAAATGAACAGTACTCTATTGACTTTTTTATTGCACCCTTATCTTCCCTTGTTGATTTGATTAGCAGAAGAAAATGAGGTTTCAACTTTCTACAATTTACAAACAATATTGGGTGCAAATCTTACCTGTGCAAAGTGCCCGGAAATTTTCAGCTGTCCTAGGAACAATGTCCGAAAACAACTGCACAATCCCACAAAACAAATTTTATTGAGATCAAGTAAAAATGAGGTTGCAGTTAAGGAACTTCAAAAAACAAAAGTGTCAGGGTTGATAACACTCAGAAATGATAACAAAAAATGGCTTCATATCAGAATGACCTCCATAACAATCCTTTGTGGGGGTCCTCCATCAAACGAAACATTGAAGAAGACTAGTGGATTTCCTTTCTTCATCTTTCAACAAAATGCTGAAATATGAATTATTAAACATAAACTCAGAGCATAAAAATTGACTATTTGTTAAGTGGTTACGAAGTTGTACTCCGTAAAAATTAAGTCAATTGGGTCAGTGTTTGGCAAATTATGCACTTATTAAATCTTTAAAGCATATAATGTTTCCCAAGTTATGCAATTATTGGGGTGCAACAAAATCTCATTCGCCGATCGCATAATCCAAAAGCATCAAAAAACACAAGTGCACAACTCCAAAAGCAAAAACCTAGCTGAAAATGGATTTCCAAACCTAAAAAATCATGATGGACAATTGGATAATATATAATCACTAGACAAATTGCAATCTCAAACATGCTACTGTAAAAATTATCATAATAAATTGCCCCTTCAATAACTAAATGACTCGTATTAGCCAGAATCTTTCACTAACTACTGCCAATGTGTGAAGTCCCACATGCTTTCAGAATCTCTATGGTTGTGGTCTGCAGTTCATTATAGTAATTGAATGTCCAAAGGACAAGTCCCATGGCAATAAAAAGAACAAGGCAAAGAACTCCAATGCCCTAAACCCTAAAATCCATCCGACTGTCAAGGAAAGCAATAAGCGTCAATCAGCCTTCAAAACATGGTTATAGAGAATAAATAGGCACAGTAGCAACGATTTTGCTGGAAACAATACGATTTCGAACCAGAAAGAACACATTAAGATTTATAGAAACTCGGGCGTAGAGGAGATTCGAAAAAAGGGATCCGTACAAAAAAAAGAGAGTCTGGAGCTCTATCAACTCGTCAATTACAACGACTCAGAAAAGCTTGGCCTCATTCCACTGATACCGCAGCACTTAGGTTTAGTAGAAAAGTACCGTAGTAGGGATTGCGAAGCAGGAGGGTTCTTTCACTCTGTAGTCCTTCGTTCGTTTATGCTGCGGTCCTGCGGACTCAATTTCTTTTTTGTATGGGACAGCTAACCTCTAACTTGGTTCAATTGTAAAACCCGGATTTGCATCCAACCGCCCAAACTCGGTAGACCCGGTAGAACCGGTAGATCAGGTCGACCCGGCCGATTCGCGGGTTTGGTTTGAATTTTTTTTTTTTTGCTATAAAATAAAATGAAGGAGATAAGATTTGATTACTAAATCTCACCATAAAACTTTCTAAGACTATGAGTCTATAACTACTAAATCCACATACTAAACACTTATTACCAAAATCATACAAAATAGTATATATAGTGTGTTTTATTTGTGTTGAAGGAATTAAAAAAACTTCTAACTATTTGTAAGAAAGAACATGTTTGTATTGTGTAGTTATTTTAAAATATTTCAAAGTAAAAAATAAATATTATTTTTTCTAATAAATAATAATGAATAATTTATATCTAAACAAATATTATCATCTATAAAATGAAGAAATATATACTAATTATAATAAAACATGAAAAGTGTGAAAGAATATATGAACAATGACATTGAAAATAACATGGAGAAGAAAATAAACACAATTCTAAATATTTTATTTAACATTGAGAATGACATTTACATTTTTCCTTAATATGTGTATATCGTTCAAATGGGAAGATTAAAGTTAGACGGAGGGAGTATGTGCTTCATATTATTTAGAAATAATAGGCATATTTAAGTTATGTGATAATATTATATTATCTTTAAAAATAGTCCACAAAACATGGTATTATTTAATTTTTTATTATCTAAATATAAACATGAATGTTATATACCAAGTCATGGGTTGTTGACCAGGTCGTTGACCCGAGTAAACCCGGTTCGACCAATTGACTCTTGACCCCGTGGTTAATCCAGTTCGATGTCCGGTCTAGTTTTCAAAACATTGATAAAAACATGAGTCAGGTTGAAAAAGCCTAGCAAAAGTAGAAATTTACCTAAATAGTACTAAAATATAATTTCCCAATTGATGGGTGTATTCTACCCAGAACCGATCAAGAAAGGCGCTCAAATATCCAAGTGGCCAAGGTTGATTTTTTGAAATGGAAGCCCTAAAACAATAGTAAAAGGGTAATTGGTTGACCAAAGGTTTGACCGGTACACTTCGGAAAGGCTACCAGGCAAACTACTTTATTCCCTAATTCATCTCCAATTTCCATAAACCCATCCCTCGAAAATCACCCAGTATGATTTTCGGGCTGGAGAGTATCGGCAAGGGAGAATCCAAAGGGAATTGGACTGTAGCGGCCAAATTCAACGGAAGATCATTGGAGATATTCGGACAATCAATCCAACGCGCTAAGTGACAAAGGAGTCACCTTCCTAACTAGATGACAAGGTCACTAGAGGATAGAGGCAATCACCTCGCACCACCCAGGAACGTGCCGTGACGTGGTTGTGCGGCGCCTGGTCTCATCTAGCTTACTATAAATATCATTGTAATCCTCAAAAAAGGAGATCCGATTTCTTCTCACTAAAGCTCCCGTGTAAAAGCTCCCGCGCACTCTACTATATTCGAATATTAATTGGACTACAGGTGTCTCCACCTATAGTCCTCCCGGTTACTTCATGTGTTTTTACCTTTTACTTTTCCGAATCTAGTAAACAATCCTAGACCCGGTTTAGTACTGTTTACCCGGTTAGATAATTTACACCATCATTTTTGGCGTCATCTGTGGCACTGTTAAGGTTTATTTTACCATCATTACACAACCCTACTCACAAAACACCACCTTGAAAATGTCTTCAAGCCAGTTGAACAATACCACTGCTCCGATGCAAGCCACTTCTGAAGGGGTAACCATCCCACTCGTTGCTACTCAACTTGCTAACTTAGCATCTGTGATGCCGATGGGTTTGAGTCCCATCTCTACGCCAACCATGACTGCGCCATTCGCAGTCCTTGTTCCATCTGCTGGGAAAGGGTCATGTTTATCTAAAGCGTGACCCAATTCCTGAATGACCCGACTAATTTGCAAACAATTCAAGGATTTGGCTAGGTCATGGCCATGTGTCAGCAAAACGAAGGAATGTCATTCCTCCTGGGTATGTTTCCTTTCGCCCTACCAAGTGCTAGAACATTACCCCTTCAAACCTCGATGGCAGTGTCTCCCTTTCAGACACGGATACCCCAGCCATCACCTTTCCAGCCACAGGTGGTCAGTGATGTGGCCCTTGTCAATCGCACTAGTGCACTCAACGTCGCCAGACCATCACGCCCTCCACAAAGTGCTCGCCACCCGCAGAGCACTCATGATGGTCATTGTGTTTCTGTTGAGAGTGATGACGGTGAGTGGGACATTCCAAGAGCCCACAAAAAGAAGAAGGGTAAGACCCTAAGACCGGCTGTTGGAATGCATGAGTTAAACCCTTTCTGTGTTGGTAAGTGTTGACTCACAGGTTTTGATAATTGACAAACACAATTTATTCAAGTCAAGATCAAAGTGCTACAACGACACACACGAAGACTTGAAGTGTCATTCCTAGAAGTATTCAAGAAGGTGCACAGGATTTTATTGGAGTCCGAGACGCGTTCGGAGCGCCTAACGGAGGACTCGGAGGAGTAGAAGATTTCCGAAGACTTTTTATTTATTTGATTCTTAGGAATTATTGTAAGGATGACAAAAATATCTTCTCTCCAAAATTTATTTTTATCAGAGTTAAAATAAAAATTAGTTGAAAAATCTTTTTGACTGTTCAAAATAGTTTTATTGAGTGAGTTATAAAAGGTGTGTCAAACATTTATCAAATGTTTATTTTGATATTATAAAATATTTTTGGTAAGCAAAAATATTTTATTCAAATATTTTTCATGTACATCGTTTGACAGACAAAATATTTTTGGGACTCATTTTCTACACCAAATATTCTTCTCATAATTCAAAATTGTTTTTGAATTATCCTTGTTTGATTATGGGAGTCTTCTCCCCTGATTCCTTTGTCCCAAACAAGGCCTTAATGCCAAAATATCCTTCCAACTCGCCCACATGCTTGTGTTCTTCATGTGTGGGCATTATTGTTGCAATAATCGATTATTACCTCTGGAATTAATCGATTATCTGGTCTAGAATGAACTAATCGATTAATACCTTTGGCTTTAATCGATTATCATTTTTCCGCACAGAAGGAATCTTGCTCAAACGATTTTAATCGATTTTTACAGCTGCATTAATCGATTATGATGATGCACTAATCGATTACGATGATGCATTAATCGATTTTTATGCTGCATTTTTCATCACAACTTCTTTTCTTAGACCAACGGATATATTTCTTCACCTCCTATTTAAACACCCTTCCTTGGTTATTTTTAACAACAAGAAATACTCCAATACTCCTCATTCTTGAGATGTTAATCCTCCATCAATCATTCCTCAAATTTATATTATTTTGAGAGAAAACTATTTGTTTTTAAGAGAGGTTTCTTGTCATCCATTAGAGCTTAACTTTTTCTCATTTCTACTCTTTGGAGAGCTATTGTTGAAAGGTTAAAGAAGAATGTTCTTCTTGGTGTACAAGACTTTAACTTAAGTCTTGGGTGTGAAGTCTTGTAGAGGGCATATCTACGAGCGGTTGTGCCGAGGCTTGTGGTATTCAAGTTCTCGAGTTGTAAATGGTTTGTTAAGCACCCGTAAGCTTAATGGAAGTAGTGGTAGCTTCGAGAGAGTCTCTCGGGGAACTGGACTAGCCACGAGGTAGTGAACCAGTATACATCGGTGTGTTCTTTGCCTTCTCTTTTTTATTTCCGCTGCACTTACGTTTATATTTTTAATCCTTTGAAAATTAGTAATCATTCTCAATAACTCTATTAACCCCCACCCCCCCAATCTAGAGTTGCATGCCTTGTCTAACAACAGAAACCTCTCGTGACTCTGCCTTCAAAAGGCTGGGGGAAAGGGAGGACGGTAAGAAGAAACCAGTGAAGCTGAGGCTGGGGAAAAGTGTAGCCCATGTTAGAGTTTTTGCCCGGCTAGGGAAAGGGAGGGAGTCCGAGCCTGCCTGTACCCAATGCACTCAGTCAAACCGGCCGGATCCTGCAAAATCACGGGTTTCGCGCTACAGAGAAGAAGTTAAGAGCCAACCCACGAGCCGGTGAGGAATAGGTTGGAAAACCTGGGAGATCGCGTCCAGCAGATAGAGGCGAAACTAGAAAGGTTGGAAAGCAAAGTGGGGGAGAAGAATGACAAGGAAAAGTCCCTTTCTGATTCTCCGTTCACTGCTAGGGTCCACTTGACGCCATTCCCACGAAAGGCCAAGATGGATGCACCAAGGTTCACCGGAAAGGAGGATCCTGAGATTCACTTGGACTCCTTCAATCAAAGTGCAACCATGATGAGGTGCACAGATGATGAAAAGTGCCTCTTTTTCTTTCAAACCTTGCAAAATCAAGCCATAGAGTGGTTCAATAAACTTCATCGAGGAAGTATTGACTCATTCACAGAACTGGCCTCATAAATCAAGGCCATGTTCGAGGATAACTTTACGAAGAGGAAGAAGTCCACCTACCTCTGTACGGCCGGTCAAAGGGAATATGAGAATCTCACTCAGTTTCTTACCCGGTGGAAAGAGGAGGTGGACAAGGTCGAAGAAATTGATGACAAAACAGTCTTGTCTCTCCTGTTGAATGGGTTGCGTTCCGGGGAATTATACAAAGAGTTTTGCCGGACACCTTCGGCCACATATCAAGAGGCCTACCACACGGCGTGGGAATTTGTTGAGGCCATTGATGTACTTACAAATCATTGTTGAACTATGTGAACGATATGAAGATAACTCAAGTAACTTGAGAAAGTTACACTATGACGTATGAATTAAACAACCTCCAAATACTCCACTACAATTGCGAACTTGAAACTGTAAATGCTACTAAAGGACTTTCGATCGAAGAAAGAATATCGTTAATTGACATTGTACAATTGAGGATTGTGAATGAATGAAGTGATGTCAAATATGTCAAGTAT